TGAAAGCATTTGTCTTTAAAGTGAACGTTTAATCCACAAAGCTTTCCATCAGAAAGGCTGACGAGGAAATTTCAAACTGATAATTTAATCACGCCCGCTCTTCGAATCATTTCCTTTCTCTGAAAACGATGCCAAGAAAATGTCAAATATAGCCATGTTTTATGGGATTGATGACTTAATGGTGGTTAGTAGTATGTGTGAGTGAGCACGCACCTTATCTGATGCTCTCACACACACACACACACACACACACACAGGTGTGAGACATGGACAGATGAGTAATGATGCCATTGGACGGTTGTATGTTCCTGACAGAGTGCACGTCTCTAGGGTGTGGACTGCCCTTTTTTTTTTTTTAAGACGCAGACCTTGGTCACGCCACACTGTTGGAAACCAGGGTAAATTCCAGTTTATTTTCAGCAACATGACAATTACACAGCATGGCACCAATTTATGACCACTTGCTAAACAATAAAATCAATCTCAAGAACTGTAAGACTCTGATCTGTCTGTCCCAATGTATCTCAAACCAAATTCTCGGCTCATTCTGAGTAATTTGTGCCTGGTAGATGCATTTATGCACATTTATGCATTCGGCAGACGCGTGTATCCAAAATAAGTGGTTTGCAAAGTAACTGCAAAAATGATTTCAACCCTGTCACAGTAAGTTTAAAGTTCATATAATTTGAACTGACAGCTGATTAGCTATGGCTGAACAGCACAGTTTTTATATGGCAGTTAAGTGCAATTAAATTTAAATTGTATTATATATATATAATACTTATTATGTATATATAATAATAATGCTTTCTACATTATTTCACGGTTCAATGTTCTAGGGTTGTAAAATAAGTTGGGGGGGAAAATGGCAGAGCACCAACAGTTAGCTAGCAAAACTAGATACACTACACATAATTTAGTCAAAATTGCACAGATTTTTCCTGTAAAAGAGTTGAATCAGCTTGAGAAGGCCGGTATAAGGGCATTTATTCATTACAAAATGTGAGAAATATCTTTTGGACTTACTGTTTGAGCCATGTGGTGTCAGAAACAGCACAAGAAGGCTGAATAGAAATTTAAGGCAAAAACTAATTCTACTATTTATAAGCAGGAGTTTATTGAGGCAAAAGTCTTGGTTTGTAGTTGGATCTTAAAATAACATGTGACCTATACTTCTGATTTAAAAAATTTATTAGTATATGAAATTCATTCATAAATGCTGTAGAAGTACTATCCATTCTTATTTCATGTTAACTAATGTAGTTAACCAATGTTAACAAATGAAACCTTATTGTGAAGTGCTACCAAATAACATGACTAATAAGTGCAATATCCAGTTCATTATATCAGTAACACGTCATGGGGACATGGTAACCTTTACTGAAAACGAACCTCCTCTTTTCTGATTGGATGAAAAGCATTACAAAAAAGCTGGGATTTAAACCTGCAACCTCCCGGTTCATGCCATTTAACTCTAAGTTAAACTGATGGGGTAAAGTTCACTGGTAGATCCAACTAAAATGACAGTTTACGCGGGAGACGTGAACCTGCCACCCCAAAATTCCTCCTCTAATCACAGCTTAAGTCACTTACAACATTCTTGGGGTATTTAAGTGGCCCGAGGGGGCTGTGCAGGTGGGGGGAGGGCGGCAAGAGGATTATCTTATATTTCATAGGTAGTGCAAAGCTGCTGCTCTTAAGTGCTTCACGTGGTTATATTATGTCAAACATATCGGCTAATCTAGTATGAGCAGAGCGCCGCTCTAAAATCAGCTGTTTCAAAACAAACACTGCAAACTGTTCCACAAACCGCTCTTAAACCTAAGCCTCATTAACACTGATCTACTGATGGCTGCCGTTCTGATGATCACATGGACCTGTCGGCTCAGGTTTAGCGAGACGGATGGGACATTTCTGGAATGGTAATGGTTAGTTGAACATTTGTATGTTTTATAGAGTTTAACAAACCAAAACATTCCTACATAATGTTCTCCGAGGCTGAACTGAACCACGTGGAGGTCACATTCTGGACAAAAATATAGTTTTAAAGTGGAATCTGTAAGTGATGCATCTCTAGGCATCATCTAAAACAACTAATAAAATAATGAAGTATTGTTTTCAGGTCTAACAGTGGTATGCCTTTATTGACTTAAGTGTAATATACAAAGTTGTTGTGAAATGTAGCAATTATTATGGGAACACAAACAATTCTGTTCATGCCAAAATGGAATTGACTTGTTTTTCAAATACACTCATTAAATTTCAGTGTGAATGGTTTTCCATTGAATATAGCGTCATCTGAATGTAAAGGAACCTTGAGAAACACCTGCAGCTCAGAATGAACTTCAAGCCAGTGACAATGTCACTGAAAAGTGTTAAACCCAACAACAGGAAGTAGAAGAAATTGAGAAACGGGATGTGGCCAATGCAATAATCTACAGTATGTATGGAGACAATAGGGACATGCAGAAGCATCACGCATCCATGTTTTTGGGACCAGTTTGAACTGAAAGGACAGATGATGATAATTTTCATTAGATTCAATGTGACTGGACCACAAAATGTGACTGGACTACAAGAAATAAGGTCAAATATGCTCCTAAATGGCCATGCTTCTGGATTCATGAGTTAAGGGATAGTTCACCCCAAAATTTTGTTATTAATTACTCCCCCTCATGTTGTTCCAAACCCGTAAGACCTCCGTTCATCTTCGGAACACAAATTAAGATATTTTTAATGGAATCTGAGAGCTCTCTGACCCTCCTATAGACAACAATGTAATTACCACAATCAAGGTCCAGAAACATAGCAAGGACATCGGTAAAATAATCCATGTGACATCAGGGGTTCAACCGTAATTTTACAAAGCTACGAGAATACTTTCTGTGCGCAAAAGAAAAAAAATAACGACTTTATTCAACAATTTGTCTCCTCCGCATCACCCTGGTGCCATTTTGGAGAGTATCCAGTGAACGTGAATTGCGTATGCTGTTTTGTGTCAGCTGCGCCATATGGATACATTGTTTTCGTTCAAATCAAAAGCATAAACGACGTAAAAACAGCATATCCGCGTGGCACAGCTGACACAAAACAGCATACGCAATTTGCGTTCAGTGGATACTCTCCAAAATGGCGCTAGGGTGACGCGGAGGAGACGAATTGTTGAATAAAGTCGTTATTTTTTTTCTTTTGCGCTCAAAAAGTATTCTCGTAGCTTCGTAAAATTACTGGACCTTGATCGTGTAAGGACCCTTGCTGTCTATGGGAGGGTCAGAGAGCTCTCAGATTCCATAAAAAATATCTTAATTTGTGTTCCGAAGATGAACGGAGGTCTTACGGCTTTGGAACGACATGAGGGTGAATAAATAAAATGAATAAATAATGACAGAATTGTCATTTTTGGGTGAACTATCCCTTTAAGAATATAGTCTACTTTTGTAATATGTAATAAATGACAAAATACATGAAATCGTAACACATCAAGAGTTTCAAACAAAATTTTATAGAAAAAAGGCAATATAATTTGAAAATAAATATGCTGTACTACATTACACAGACACAAAAAAGATGTTAATATTCAACATATTTACATAGAGTAAATAAATAATGTAAAACTCCAATCAAATCAGACCACATCTGAGCATAGTGTTTCAGCTTGTTAGATCTTATTATAGTAGAAGTAAATGGCGACGTGGGTTTGGCCTATATTTACATTTGGCTGCTATATTTGTTATTCAATAGGTATGTCACACTGACATCAAGACCGTTTCGCCAAAACGTACTCACACATGCACGCGCACAAACATTCGCACACAAAATCACATTTACACAGTTTGTTTGTTAGAGATCACACGGCACACACACATCTGCAGCAAGGCGGCAAAGTCAAGGCAGTTGGCAACACAACTCACTGATTAATAAATACTAACCAGACCAACAGCTATGCAAGGTGCTTTCGTGTAATCGTAACACATCAAGAGTTTTCAAACAAAATTTTATAGAAAAAAGGCAATATAATTTGAAAATAAATATGCTGTACTACATTACACAGACACAAAAAAGATGTTAATATTCAACATATTTACATAGAGTAAATAAATAATGTAAAACTCCAATCAAATCAGACCACATCTGAGCATAGTGTTTCAGCTTGTTAGATCTTATTATAGTAGAAGTAAATGGCGACGTGGGTTTGGCCTATATTTACATTTGGCTGCTATATTTGTTATTCAATAGGTATGTCACACTGACATCAAGACCGTTTCGCCAAAACGTACTCACACATGCACGCGCACAAACATTCGCACACAAAATCACATTTACACAGTTTGTTTGTTAGAGATCACACGGCACACACACATCTGCAGCAAGGCGGCAAAGTCAAGGCAGTTGGCAACACAACTCACTGATCAGTATTAGGAATGTTTCTCTGTTCATCTACGGAAAATAAAACTGGATGAAAAGCTTTTTTTCCTCCAGACAGCCATGGAGGTTTGCAGACAATAATCTTAACATAACACTGCACATAAATAGGTCAAATTAAATACAAAGAGATAGAATACTGAAAATATAAATTACTGAATTGCTTAGGGGAATAGATTTGGACTAAAATTCCAAGACTAGCTGAACGACAACGAAAAACCTATCACGAAATCGTCATCTTAAATCCCCAGTAGTTTGGAAGCATGGAATCTAATCACACGATCTACACAAAGTGGTTTCCAAACATGTCAAAGAATGAATATCCCTTTAAGAAGTGAATATGACCAAAATCCTCTTGTGTTTGCCTCGTCAAGGTCAGAGCTCTGTAGCAAACATTTACCCCAGCGGTCAGCGGGTTTCCATGGCGTGACATTCCAACGACAGCCTTCCGTCAAAACTCCAATCATTTGTCCGTCTCTAAAAACACACGCATTGTTCTCAGTATTCACGTACTGGGAGGAATGATTCCACAGCGTGTAGTGGACGCCAACACATCGTTGCAGTCCTCCAAACTTTTCGTTTGCACTTTAGATTCACATGAAAAACTGCACAGCAGACCCAAATCCAGTGATGTGTCTCATTGAGTGATTTTGAGTACGACTTTACGCACACGCCAGCCGAGATCAGAAACGTTTACGCAGGTCTTTTCCGAAGACCCTTTAGCAGCAATTCAAATCCTGTGCCTTCAGTCTCTCGCTTCGCTTAACGCACACGCATGAAAATCATGAACATATACAGAGAGAACATTTCATTGACTGTCAACCCCCCACCTCCCCCGAACCCCTTCACTTCATTCGCTCAATATCTCCGGGACGGAAAAATGAGAGCAAAGTTCAAAGCTGAAAGTTCAAAGTGCTGTGAATTATTGTGAAATATTCCTTCATGTCAGAGTCCATTCTCAAGTTCGGTTCGGTTCACCTCCTTGGTTTGTCACATCTGGGAAAGTAAGTGGAAAAATCATACATGAAATCTCTAGAGCATCTCAATTATTTACTCTAGACAGGAAGATTTAACCTGTCAAAAAGGTTATCTTTTATAGTTTCGGAAGAGATGCATCAATGTCTTAAACTGTAGTCAGATTTAAACAACTCAATTTCTCATGAAATGTTATCTTTCCACTCTTTTCCAACTAAATTTAGGAGAAATATAACAAAGTTGACATTTAAAGAAGCGGCAGCTGTTTGTATGGAAAAGGGCAGCATGAACATTCTACCAAACATCTCCATTTGTGTTCGACACAAGAATATCATATAGGTTTGGTAGGTAAATAATGACGAGAATTCTGATGGAATTATTGCTTTAGGCGAAAGAGCCACACATCTTTTGTCAAGGGATATGCATGACAATACAAAAACAGGAAGGCCAGTCTTGCACTAACATGTGTAGGTTCACAAGAAAGTGTAGATTCACAAACACACCTGCAGTTCCTTTCGTTGAGTTCTAGTTGTCTAGACCTGCAGTCGGCTTCAGAGTGTTTACAGGAGCACTGACACGTCTCGGGGTCTTGAACAAACAACCTTCTTCTCCTTTCAGAGCACGAAGAACAGCAAGGCTCACACTGACTACTGAAAAGAGACAGAATGAGAGAAAAGGAAAAGGATTGGGGGAGACTACAGCTGACACACAGTCATGGCAAATATTATTAAACACACACAGGCACTCGGTAAGTCAAGCAGTACGTTTTTTGAGCCACCCTCGTCTGGTAAAACGGTTTTGCCCCTTCTGAGGGTCCGAGGGGGATTTGTAGAGTGTGAATAGCTGAAGTTAGGCAGGATGTGGCCATGCACCTGCAAGCTCAGTTGATGCAAGAAAATAATGACAACAACAATAATCTGATTCAGAAAAGCACACTGGAATAAAAGTCAGAGAGAGTGCCGTGCATGAAAATCCAGTGTTTCTGTTTATTGCTTTTTGAAGTGTTGGATCAGGATCATCAGGACACATGTACAGTACAAAACGCTGGACTCCAAAAGGAAGATTCACACATTATTTGACCTTATTTGAAGCCAATATTTGTCTGAGGACAGACTTATCAAAGCCACAGTCTAAATTCTACATTTAACCCTGCCTTTAAATTACAACAGTGTAAAGACCTATTTACACAAAGTTTGAACGTTTTTATTTTACCCATTTTCATTGAGAGAAAGAGGATCGTGTTTGGGAAATGTCACAAGTCAGATTTAAACCCACATAAGCATCTCAATGATGTTTTTAGCATTAAGCCACAGTAAGATTTTGCATCCAAATTTGAAATCCAAATCTTCTCAGAGAATGTCAAAAATTCAGTGTGAATAGTTGTGGTGCAAAATAACGACTTTCATGCTCTTTGTCTAAACAAGCCTCAAATCTAATTTAATTTTTTATATGTAAACCCAAACCCCAGCCCTTAGAAAATACTGACCTCAAAAGCATCAGTCCCACAGGAGCAGATTGTCCCATGTATGCATTTCTTCGCCCTTTCATTCTCATTGAAACACATTTCATTTCCCAATTGCTGGGAGAAGCACCAAAGTAAACAGGCTGTTTGACTTTCGTAATGCTGCGCGGCAGAGCTCACGCAGCATGACAAGACCAAACTCACAGCAATTAATTAAAAAAACAAGTCACACAATCCTTCTCATATTTCAGAGAGGACACAACCGATGCGAGAATGACGGTAAGTCCTAATACAATAGTGAGAACAAAAAACATTCCAGAAACAGGAAGCAGCACAAACAAGTCTGTGATTCCAACACAAATATTGTAATAGATTAGTACCATCGACTGAAAGCCATGCTGGGTGGATCGGGTGAGTTTGTATGTCGGCTACCTCCTCACTGCCCACCTCCTCCAATCATAGAGCTTGATTTATTGGGTCCTGCGGCACAACCTATAGAGCGCAACTGTAGGGTTCCAGAAATAGAAATCCCATTCATTTTCTCAGACCTATGAGCTCAGAGAGCTGTTAAGCGATGGTGCTTTTTAATTTCTGAATTCCCATTAAGTGCCGCACTACTCACAAGCAAGATTCTCTAAAAACCAACCTTGAAAATGAGAACAAGTCTCCTTTAAAATGTTGCTTCTGAGACCCCTGATCGACTATTTCCATAAAGCACTGCTAGTGATGAAATCCAAGGAGTTCCTATACTCGCAATCAATGTATATATTTGATTTTTCTGCGATAAACATCTCATATAAGATGAATCGTCTCTGTATAATTTATTTTACGCTTGTATTCAATGACTTGTCAGACTTGTTAGTGTATTGTGGCTATTGTTTGGATTGCATCATTCACAATGCTGCATGGGATGAATAGTTCATTTTCTCATAAAAGACTACGTTTTTGCAAATACTTGCGTTGTTCGAATCAAAAGTTGTAGTCCTGTGATTTATCTCGGTTTGGTTGTAGGCTTAAGTATTTGAAATGCTAAAGAGAATGAATGGGAAAATAATTCTGACTGAAAGAGCGGGTGGTTGCGCTCTACTTGTTTGTACCATTTTTACAAGAAACAATTTGTCCAAACTTGTTAATGTTAATGGTTTTAGCATGTGTATCAGCATTAGTGAGTCAAGCTCTGTGAAAGCAGAGATCGGGCATGAGGTTTTGTGGGATGGTCAGTTTTAATTAAATGGCGGAGGAGCTGATGGATTAATGGCAATTAACAACATCCGACAGGAATGTACTGATTAAAGGAGGCATAAAATCTCCTCCCAAATTAATTTGACGACCAAGAGTGCCACACTCAGGTGCAGGTGAGAGGAGGCGAACGCAGAGGTGACGTACAAATCCCGCTTTTTTTCACGGTTTTTCTTTCTCTTTCGCTTTTGGCCTTTGCCCTTCCGGGGTTTTCTAAAAAAGGGAACATGACAAACAAAGAAGAACATCGAAAAACAAAAACTGAATCGGAGTGGTTGCAAAAGATCATCCAACACAGTCAGATTGCAGTGAACGTAGTGCTAAAATGATCCAGATGGACACATCAGCAAACATGCCTCTTCTTATTCTTGTATAAGTGCCTGACACCACAGCAAACTCCGTGAGACGTGAATTAGAAATTAAAAGCCAGCCAGGCTCTGGGGAAATTTGCCAATTCTTCAGATTCTCTTACACGAAGACATTTCAATAAATAAACAAGGCATTAAATCTTCAATAGCTTCAGTAATGTTTGCAGGATTCCAAAACAGAGACAAACTGATTCAATTTGAGCCAAAGCTCAACATCCACTAGCGAGTTTTAACTCTCGCATATTAAAGACTTTGGTAACACTTTATTTTAAGGTGTCCTTGTTACACACGTACTTACTATTGTAATAATAATAAATTGTGCATAATTACATGCAAGTAACCTTAAGCCAAACCCTAATCCTAACCCTAACCATATGTGACCCTGGACCACAAAACCAGTCATAAGGGTCAATTTTTCGAAATTGAGATTTATACATCTGAATACTATCTGAATAAATATTCATATATACCCAAATACACAAAATAATGATCTTTAAAATAGCATCATATGACTCCTTTAAAATAAAGTGTAACTGAGACTTCTAACGGAAACCGTCAAAAGCCGTTTCATTATAATGATCAATCAGTAAATCAACACGTAGTACTGGAGACATACACATCCATTTATCTTTCAGATAGCTGAAGATCCTGGCATATCACGTCAGACATGTCAGGCAGCAAGAATGTGAACTTTCCCCTATCTCACAATCACAATCACAGTACAAACTGATGTGCTGCGATCCGTATATGGTTATTTGCATTAGCGGTTGACCAATATGGGTTTTTCAATGCGTGATGAAAATAAATGGATTACAAGATGTCCAATATAGATGCAATTGAGACTAAAAATGTTTGAAAACATTTACTAATTTACAAACGTTACGAAGTTGGAGCTCTTTAAACAGAACATCAGGTCTGTACTGTTGACACATCGGGCGGGTGATTACCTACGATTACATTCACTGTTTCCGAGGTCAGATTCAATCATGTTATGAGGCAGTTGTCTTTGAACACGCTGAGGAACAGCCTTTGTGCCAAAGGGCCACTTGTTTACCAGAACCAGAAGGCATTTAAACTTTTTAACCCCCTAGAGATAACCTCTGACCCGTAACACATCAGCCACAAGATCAACACCCTCTGCAATAGCGTCAACTTCAGTAAACTTTCAAACACTTCGGCCCGCATTCTCTGGCGAGAGGGTGTCTTCAGAGAGGGGGTTGACTGACCGCTGCGGTATCTCTGAGGAGTGGAAACGGCCTTGTAAACAAACGCACAAAACGCTGTCTTATCGCCGGACGTAAAGACACTTCAGAGAAGACAAATCCCTCTCTTACCTCAGTGAACCTCAGATCATAAAGCAGAGCTTAGAGATGAATGTGGGGCGAGGGCATTGAACTAGCGGGCGAAACTCACACACCTGTTCACGCGGCTCTTTACATACCTGAGGGACTGAATTTACACCTAAGAAACCAACGTGCAATGACATGAAGACATCAAACAGGAAGTGAGATCAGATGGTGTAAGGGTCAGAGAGTATCTCAGTTCATCTGTAGAGTACACTTCCATAATGTACTTAAAGTGCTCTATTTTCACGCACTACTTTTGTACTTAATATACCGTATTGGCCCGAATATAAGACGACCCTGATTATAAGACGACCCCCCTTTTTCCAGATGTGGTCAATACGGTACTAAAAATGATTCTTTAGTACTACTTAAGATAAACTTAAGATCAACTAAGTGTTCTCAGCTGTGCTATTTTGGGACACCATAAATATGAACTAAAATGCGCTTTTAACATACCATCTCTGTATTTAAAAAATGTATTTAGTCACCACTTGTAGTACACTTGAGTACTAAAGTTTAAGTACATTATGGAAGTGTACTTTTTTTAAAATCTGGGACGGCTGCATTAACAAAAGCAGTAGTTCTGGTCCTTTGCTAGGGCTGGACAATATAAAAAATATGTATATCTGTATATAATTTGTAATATTATAATAATAGTAATTATAATCTGAACTGTAAGTCAGAACAATAAGATCTAAAGTGAATCACTGTTTTTATTTCATGGTAGAAACAAGCGTGACTTTTCGCAATTGCAAGATTGTATCGCGCAATTCAGACATTTCATATCGCATAATTCAGACTTTTCTTCTCAGAACTGCGAGTTTATATATAGCAATTCTGAATATGTTTCTGAAAAAGTTCAAATTGCAAGAAAAAAGTCAGAATTGTGAGAAAAATTCACAATTACCTTTTTTCTGTGGCGTGACAAAGCTTCCATATATTTGCTCCATAAAGACTTTCATAAAGTGCTTTTTTCAATCAGAGGACAAAACCTTTCAACTAAACAGCTATTGTAGATGCAAAAAATAGTAAATATGTACTTTAAAATAAACAAGGCATGTTTCCACACTATTTTTCACCGAGTAAAGGATTATAAAATATAAAAAACATATATAATAAGGATTATATATATTAAAGCACTGAATGCATTTATTGAGTGATAAACAAATTTTCGAATCAGAGCTGAACTGTTTCATTGAAATAAATATCTTTGAAAAGACCTTAGTCTTAATGTTCTTAAACTTGGGAACACACAATGAGTTTCAAGAGCTTCTTTAGCGAACATATAAGTTAAAAAACATATTCTAAATTCATATTGCTAGCAAAAAATATCATGTATACCTTCAATATATATCGCCCAGTCCTAGTTTTTGTGTAGCTTTAGTTTGACAATTGTGCCACTAAATATTTTCGAGATCTAAATCACCTGTTCGCTTGGTTCAACAACAATGAAGAGCTCCACTGTTCTCTCCCGATCAGATTTGATGGCTTTATGTAACATGAAAAGCATGGAGATGAGATGAAAGGATCAGAAAGCAAAGGAAAACAGGAAGGAATACACCTAACTGGAGATAAGGGTGACTGAGATAAAGAGATTAGGAAATGAGAATGAATGCATGAATGATGGAGGTGGGAGAAATGACAAAATAGAGCGAGAGCTGAAGCATGCACACACATACAACATCACCACACAAGAACAACGCCACTTACTTTTCTCTTTTCTCCAGAATATCTTTTTTCACCCTGAAAGAGCAACAAAAAAGCAAGACATTACCTCAGTGAACATGTTTGTTTGTGTGCACACTTATAATTAGACCTGCACACATATAAAAGAGTACAGAAGCAGACAAACGTCCACTTGCACCCCTCAGTTATATTAATACAGCTAGAAATACAATTATAGAGCAGAAAAAAAAAGACAAAAGAAAGTGGGTGAGTTTATAAAATTATCCCCAAAGGTTTGCTAAATCTGACAGTTTTTCTTTGAGGACAATATTACTTTCAGTAAAAAGTCTAATTTTGTTCAAGAGTAACACTTATTTCTAAATAAAAATAAAGAAAATAAATTCTAAAAATGGAATGGGGTAAGAACAGGGTTTGTCTGTGGTAATTATGGTATAATAAGCTATAAAAAAAGATCTCTTTGTATGTATGCGTGTTAAAATGAGGCTTCTTACCGACACTGGCATTCACGGTGTTCTGCAAAACTCATGAAAAAGTCAACCTGATTACGGAGCGGTTTCACTCTTTTAATCTACAGAAGAAGAAAAAAAGCAATAACACATTAAAACAGACAAACAGGCAAGCTGCATTCAACACGACCTAAAAATTGGCTACTCTTATTCAGGAGAAGCCCTGCTGGCTTGGCCAAAAAGAGAAAGATTAAGGGTTTGCGTGTGGGAGACAAAGTAGAGGAGTGTAGGGTTTCCAAAAAGTAGACTTAACAAGATTCAGACGGATAGCGGAAGAAATAAAATAGAGAGAAAAAGGGAGCATCAGTCTGGAAGTTAGGGGTCTCTGACCTCCAAGGTAATGTTGTATGTGACGATAGGGGTGCATTCCATCATCTCATCGTTGCAGCATCCAGCACAGCGGGTGAGAACCACACAGGACGGGATGAAGATGTGCTCGGTGTCATCAGGGTATTCCTGTTGAATTTCCACCAGCACTTCCCGAGGACGGCAGAGAGACTTGTTATACACTTCCATGAATGGCACCACTGCAAGTTCAAAGAAAAAGGGGAAATAAGTTGTCTTTTTTGCCAAAAAATGTAGGCCAAGTTGCACCACTGGGAGCGAGATGGTCTTTGTTCTTCTTCAAGGCCAACACTGTTTGGAAATCTGGTAGCCCTTCTAAGAATTTGTGACTGAGATGGGTGTCCATATGAACCATGTACATTCCTTGTGTTGCACTCTGCCTGCCTCAAAAAACGACACCCCAAAACACGTTAAAGTAACCTGTGTGTATGTTCTGTACAGTTGCGTGTCTGTTTTTTAACACGAGGAAGAAAAACAGTTCATTTTAATAAAATGTCGTCTGGTTCACTGGGTTTAGATTGAGCAATGAGAGGTTTGGCAATGCATGCTTACTCAAAATTATCCCTTGGAGGTTTGCGTGTTGAGAAGTATTACAAACAACACTGGCTTGTGAGATTCTAATAAATACTACTAATTTATCCAAAACTATGCAGTGACAGTTTGATTAAAGGCACGGCAGTGCTTTCCTTCACCCGTCCACTAGAGAGCGCTATACTCAGGGAATCTGTATGTGTCCCGTTTCTGGATGACACCATTCAGTGCCAGGCCCAGAAGAAACTCACCGTCATATGTGCTTCTGCCTTCCTCCCTGGGTATGTAGGCACTCTGTGGTAAAAAAAGAAAAAAAAAGAAATTTTAGTCAGAAATGTATAGTTAAACACTCTTCGGTTGTACATATTCATTGCCAATTGTTAATCAAATGAGTCCCAACGGGTTTGACTAGTTATCAACCACCGCATTACCACAGGGTTAGGATGATGCAACAAATTACCTAATTTCATTTCAAAGCCAAAGTTCATCATAAAACGTAATAATGTTAGCTATCAAAAATAATTATTCGCAGTGCTTTCCTTCACCCGTCCACTAGAGAGCGCTATACTCAGGGAATCTGTATGTGTCCCGTTTCTGGATGACACCATTCAGTGCCAGGCCCAGAAGAAACTCACCGTCATATGTGCTTCTGCCTTCCTCCCTGGGTATGTAGGCACTCTGTGGTAAAAAAAGAAAAAAAAAGAAATTTTAGTCAGAAATGTATAGTTAAACACTCTTCGGTTGTACATATTCATTGCCAATTGTTAATCAAATGAGTCCCAACGGGTTTGACTAGTTATCAACCACCGCATTACCACAGGTTTAGGATGATGCAACAAATTACCTAATTTCATTTCAAAGCCAAAGTTCATCATAAAACGTAATAATGTTATCTATCAAAAATAATTATTCTTTTTTTTGGCTTGTGTGTATAGTTAAACATTTCATTTTTAAAATATAATGTAACTCAAGTAAACCTATCAACAACTCAAGTCTGAAACTCAGACTCAAGTTAACTCAGGTTAAGTTTCCAAAAACGGACATGCAAGCAAGTTCACTTGAAACATGACTTTGATCAAAAGATGTCAATCATGAAAAAAACATGAAAGACAAATGGGGCTTTCTGAGAATTTATTTTAAATATATGAAATTAATTAATTAATTAATAACTTTTTCTTGGGTTTCATGTGGTTTTAGATCATTTTTGTTTGTGAATAGCTGAGAATCACGTTACTCAATTGCTGTAAATACAAACTTCTCATCAAACTGCCTGATATATGAATATAAAGTTTCAAATTTCATCAAGAACAAATCTGTGTGGTTAAAATTCCCTGAAGGCTGGCACAAATCGTAACTTGAATGAATGATATCTCATCATTGTGATCTCCAGAAGCCGGATATGTTGTTGGTACCCGGTCCGACTGAAGCGCTACTGCGCCTTTAAAGCGTAATAATATCACTAAAGTGGCTATGATAGGGCCTTCACCCAAATCGACAACAAACTTATAAACAGTTGAATTGACTCTGATTGTGAATACAGTTGAATTCCCCCGGTTGTATCCTGTCTACAGAGTTAAATGGCACACTGTGGGGTGGTCCGATTTGCTTGTTCAAGTGATTTTGAATAGCTTGGCAATACATGGTCAGTGACCTCGCAAGGGGACAGACACACAAGGACGTGCAATAGCCTATAGTGGCGCAGACGCATTACATTCGAAATAACAGTATTTACAATTCAACCAATACGTCGGGTTCGTTCACTATACATGCACAAGCGTATAAAACTTACCTTGACAGCTGAAAAATACAGAAGCGTCACAAGAAATAACTGGAGCACGCGAACGGCAAAGTTCATGATTGAATTTATAAGGCGAATAAATCTTTTTAAAACCCTATCCGATGATAGGCGGACTTTAGCAAACGCATTGGTAAAGGTCTCAGAAAGCAAGTTAGACATGGGTAAAGGCTTCTTCACAAGGGGTCCGACCTATAGGGCAACAAGAATCCCATGTTGGTCCCAAAACACGCATGCAGACACCTGAGAGAGAGAGAGAGATTGAGATCCACGGCAAGTATGTTATAGCGTCTCTCAGCTGTTGCCGATTATTTTCAGAATATCCAGAAATATGAGAATCCAGGACGCAGGTCCTCTCACATTGTTGAGAAGTAAATCAAATTTCTCTTCCAGGGCTATTACAATCCACATCACAAAAGTAATCCCATGCTTAGCCTGCCGCCAGTCTCCAAGTGCGTTGCGTTCATTGGGAATGGGACGCAGAGTGGATCAGAAACTCGCTCTCTGATACAAATCTGAGTATTGCCGACACTGTATATTATTAGTGGAGCGCACAGTGACACCAGAGAGAACACAAAGGCGCTGAGATAAGAATGCAAAATCCGAGCGCACTTCTAGTCCCTACGAATGAAGGTTGCTTTAATTCCGCTTCCTGTTGGATTTGTCGTCTTGATTCTCAAGTTCTCCCTCTTGCCGTTATGAATGTTCACGGACGCCGCCGATGCCCGGTTTTAACGAACAGCTTCAGCTGTCGGTCAGTTCAGCGAATGAAACTCACGCCATTGGACGAGTCACCGCGATGGGCGTGGCCATAGTGGTGTCAGCGTGGACTTCTCAGCGTTGAGTCGATGCGCAGATTTCACTCAAATGATAACTGACAGAGATTCTCTGGCATCAGTTATGTTTAGGTGCTTGATATAAAAGCGGTATTATGGCTAGTATTTAGTCACTTGAGCCAACAGTTCCTCTTATTGCAAGTTTGCATTTTGATTGGTCAGATACTTTTGAGTAATGACTGTTGTCCATGGCGACGCTATATAAATGACCAGCTCTGCTTATGTTCTAATAAAAACATTTCAAGTCAAATTCAAGATAGTTTAATTCTACTTCAATTTTTTTGGTAAGTAGATGTATAGGCTACAAAGCTAGACAATGTATAGTGAACCATCATTACAGGATGACTGTACATAATTTTATATATATTTATTTGTACGCTTAACAGTTGTGTCCAAAAGTCAGAGACCACCACTGAAAAAAAAAATGCCTTGCCGTTTTTGTAAAATGCTAGATTGAAATAGGGCATAATCTTTATATAATTTATTATATTTTTAAATGTAATAAATATATAATGTATATAGTTTATATGAATTAACCATAAGTAATACCCGCTGCGTAATGCTGGGTTGTAGCTACGTGCAGAAGCGTAGTGGTCTACAGTATGTGCGTAATCCCAGTTTGAATATCATCCGCATCACATGACGGCAGCGCTGACGCCTTTTGGGGGCTTCTCGGTCATCTGCAAGGTTGCGTGGAAAACGGAAAGAGTGCTAGGTAATGAGGGCGTGATCACATGTGTAAGTGTGTGTGTGTGTGTCCATCACCACGTACAGGTGGTGGGTGCGCACGCGCGCGTGGAAAAGACCGACTCGCTCCTAGCGCGCGCTGGACATGTGAGCCGCGGTCAATCCGGTACTCCACAACACCACTGACCGAGGATTTACAAGACGACATCGCGTTTAAATAGACACACAGATTCAGAAGAAAATAGGTATTTTATCAAAACGAGGTAAAAGTGTCGTTTTATATTCGTATTACGGATTAAGGGATAGTATTTTTTCAGCACTTTTTTTTGCTTGCATCAATAGGGGAAGTTTTTTTTAGCATGTGGCTATTTCACACGTAGGCATCTATGAATCGAGTAAATTCTGGATAGATTTTCATGGATAAGTGCTTTCAAACAAAATCCTTGTCATTAGATAAATTCCTCATAAAGCGTGTAATAGGGCCTATGTTTATCTCTTTTTTAAAATAATATTTCCTCACTCATTTGGTTTACTACAAGTTGCATTGACGCCATCTGCCTGTCACTAAACGTATAGCACGTGCAAGTGGCTTGTCCGTGTTGCCATGTCCGCTTAATACAAGCCATTTTTGGCTTGTTTTTATTAAAAGTCTCTTATAAATATGGACATACATGAGTTTTCATTTTTGGGTTTTTATACTAAAATAAATCAGATCAATGAAGGTCAAGCAGTTCCCCTTAAATCATAAACCACACATCCATTGAATAACAAACAACTGGAGTAGGCTTGTTTTTGTGAAGCAAGCCGTTTATTTTAAGGGCTTTTTTGTCAGACTAGTTTGCTTGTTTTTCTGCACATATCTGGCAACATTGGACTCTGCTCCCATATCACTGACCATGCAGCGAAAGCCACTTGGAGTAAGATTACTAAGATAATTTATGATGTGAAATACATTAGATAGACAGCCTGATTGCATATCTTGTGATAGTCACCAATTAGCAAGTCTCAGCAGCTGCAGAAAAGCACCAGCGCTCGCTCTCAGCACACACTCAGACAGACACACACCTCAGTAAGGGCTGTTTAGTCTGAGTGCTAGAGGAAACCTTGAGTGCAAGGTGAAAGAGTGAGAGGAAGTTTCAGAGAAAGAAAGAGAGGTGGATACACAAATAAAACAGGAAAGAGTTGTGTAAAGACAGAAAAAGACAAAGATGAGAGCTGTACAGAATGAGTTAAAAAGCGAGGTGTTGATGTAGGAGGTAATGAGAAGAGACGTTTGTTTTTTGTTAGTGTGGTTCGTGCGTCAGATTTTAATTGAAAAATAACAGACAGATATGAGCTACACTGCCACCTGTCAGAAATACTGCAAACTCAGTAAGGACAAAGCTAATGAAGTTTACACTCCTACTGCTGTTCCAGAAAGCTTCAGTACACAAACACTGACCCACAGATGGGAAGCCACCAAAAACGACCCACTATCGTTCTATAGAGCGCAAAAATGACCACTGACTTTTTCAGCGGCCTTGGGTTTAAAATATTTTACAGTTCATTTTCTACACAGGCATTAAAATGTTAAAAAAAGACAGATTAAATGTGCAATCCTTGTATTAAGTTTTATCTATTATTCTGTTGAGAAAATGAGTGGCATTTTTATTTTCAAAACCGTTCCACTCGATTCCACGGTCATCATATTCATAGGTAATTTCCTAGTTCTGTCTAGTGTTCATCTCTTGAGCTGTGCTTCACAAAGAGAGTCTCTTATACTTCACTATCACTCACTCAGGTATGGGCGAGTCCTGTATGCATACACCACTCCCTACCACACACACTCACACACACACACACACTCACACACACACACACTCACACAGGTCCGTGTCAGAGGGGAATGAAATGGCTCACAGCCAGGCCCAGATTAGACTCTACCCTAAACGCCAGAACTGAGCTTCCAGTAAAAGCACAGCTCAGATATCCAGGGAGGGAAGTGGGGAAAATTTCTGCCATATTTGTCAGAAAATATTCCATAGCCGTCAGGAGGAAGTTGTAGATTCAGACATGATTTTGGAGGTCGTAGGTGAATGCTGAGAAAACGTGAACCTTCAATCAGGTCTGCTTTACTTTGAAACTAATCAAAATTATTTTCCAGGTTAAATAAAAGTTCAGCTCTGTTGACAGCATCTGTTGTATGCTTGCTCCAGACATTCATTGTAAGCCAACAACTGTCAAAAGACTTGAAATGATTTTCTGTGGTATAAGGCACTGAAGCTGTTGGCAAAGCTTAACTTTCATTTAACTCATAATATTCTCTTTAAAAAAGCATTCGGAAGTGTTGAAACCTGGGTATATGTGGTTACATCATTCCTGGAGGTGGCATATTAGTCTCATTTTTAATAAATGCCAGTCTTTTCCCAGTATGATTAGTCACTCACCTCGCAAGTGCCAAGCCAAATAGATCATATTTGGACGATTTGAATGTGTCCGTGTACAACAAAATGAGCTTCTTTACAGACATCATGATCTTTACACACCCAGCACTAATCCAGCAGGAAGCTGAGGCTGTGGAAGAGACAGCATTTCCTGTGAGAGATAAATATATTAATGCTGGTTTGTTGGTTTATATAAACAACTTCATTTAAAGGAGCTGTACATAACGCTTTTCCTTTTTATAAGAATAATACAGGGTAAACTTCATCCTCAAAGACCCATAATTGTCTTACTAGCATGATACCATATTCCACATCCATCAATGTTTGCTGTTTCAGCTAAGATTGTAAGAAAAACAAAGATAATTTGATAGGAGAAAAGACGGGAGAAAAAGTGATATACAGCATTAGTAAAGGCCAACTAGATGAGTAAAGTTTGTAGACAAACTTTAAGTTGGCTTGAGGCAGCCTAGGCAGAAAGTTTGAACAACTTTAAACAGCTTTAAGTTTGAAGGTTTTAGGTTTGAAATAATTTCAAGTTTTAGTTCAATATTTTTCAAATCTAGAATGTTCAGGTAGATAGAAAAACAGACAGATTTACTAACATGAATGAAAAAAACAGCTAAAATCAGCTAAAGCCATCTGATTTTGTAAAAGAAAAAAAATCCAGCTAAAAAAAACATCAAACCAGCCTAAGATGGTAGTCTAGTCTTAGTTGGTTTAAGCTGAAAGTAACTGGTTTAAGCTTGGCCAAAAACACTTGAAAAACCAGCAAAACCAGGAGACCAGCCAAAGCAGTCAACCAGCTTAGGCTGGTTTTAGCTGTTTTTTGTTGTTGTTGTTGTTTTTTTTCAGGAGGGAGTTGTGAAGCTTTGCTATAGCATTAAATAGCTTAAATACACCACAAGTCTCATTGTATAAAAGTTTTTGGGATAAAATTGTCTCATTGTATAAAAGTTTTCAATAAAAGTGTATGGGAATTTTGGTGGTTTTGATAGTCTGGTTTTCGAAAACCGTAAGCCGGATCAGTAAAAAAAAAAAGAGATTAAGATTAGCGACTAACTTCTGAACAGTCTTAAGGTCTGACCTCTAGGAGGAGATACTGACTTTCTCAAACCAACTTAATAATATATATATGTATTACAGGGAAATTTGCATTACAAATTTGCAATGGTTGCATTGCACCATTTGATTGTGCAAGAATTGTAAACATATACATGTTCATTAATGTGTGACTGTGTACGTGCATGTGAACAGCAAATTACTTAGGGTAGGGGTTTGTTCTAAACTACAAGCAATTTTTCTGTGCAATTGCAATCTGAAAATACAGGTCAGTGCAACAAAATTCGAATGCTGTTTTCTCTGCTTTCGAAGAGCTTAAACTTAAAACACATGCCTTGTATTTTCATGACGTCTGTGATACTTCTCCAGATGACATCTTTTTGGGGTTCTCCTTGAGGGGTTTATCATATCAAAAGTTTCTCAAGCAAATTGTTATTTTCTAAGAAATTAGATTGATTTAAGCCTTGTGGGAAGTTACGCGAGTGAAAAACATACACCTGCATTGAAACTCTTTTGACTTGTGCAAACCACATAGCAAAACCTTTCAACCACCAGCAACGTTCCAGCATCATGTGGGCGACTTTTGCATGGACATGAACCGCTCACATGTTCTCCAGATAATGGAAAAAAATACAGGTGTTAATATTTAACTTGAAATACGGATATGCAAAGCATGTTTCTTTACATAACCCTTTGTATTTGACGGTTCCTTTGTCACAAATGTCTGATCTCGCTTTAGGTGGCCCAAACAAGTCAGC